TTAGTAACCAAACAATTACCAATTCAATAGCTGTCAAAAGGATAATTTCTCATTTTATGAGATGATTGTTAGCAGAAGACAAGTAAAAAGGTAATTTGTGAGATAACTTGACACATTTTCTTTCGTACTTAATTATTTATTTAAATATTGAAACAATTTAAAAATAATTAGAAATAAACGTACGACGTGTTCGCGCAATAAAAATAGTGATTGGATCAATAAAAGTAATAAAAAAAGTATAGTATACCCAGTCTCATGAAGAAACTTTAATAACTAGTATGTTAAACACGGCGGGATGATACCGTAGACTTATTTTGGCCGGGGTTCTGTGACGGTAATGTTTGTGATGTCTCGTCTCGTTTTAGGTCTGTTCTGGAGATGGTTTCTGTTATTGATGTCTGTGTTGTTGATGCCTGTGTTGTTGATATCTATGTTATTGATATCTGTGTTCCTAATAACTGTGTTCTGATGACCGTGTTGTTGATGAGTGTTTTGCTGATGTCTATGTTATTGATGTTGTGGTGTTGATGTTAATGATATCTTTGTTACTGATGTCCGTGATGTTCATGTCTGCGTTGATGTTGGCTGTATCTTTTATGTCTATATTGCTGATGTCTGTTTGATGACACAATGGTTCTTCAGTACAAGCTTGAATACAAGTGGAAAAAAATAAATTCTCTACTGCATTTTTGACAATAGATAATATAAAGATAGAGTATCAAAAGCAATTTCTTGATAATATTTTCATTTGAAATACCTCTTTGAAGGCAGATGAGAATCACACAAGTGCTATCATATGGCTGAGATTATTACCTGAGCAAGGTTGAATATTCTAAACCTGGGTGAGTATATGATAGTGAACCCAACGTGAACCCAAAGAAAATTCTGGCAGGAAATATACTTTAGTGAAAGATTTTTACAGACTAATGAAAGAAGGAGAGAACCTACCTCTTGATATGTATGTATCTCTTAAGGAGGTACATACATATGTACACATGTAGCAGATATGTATTTCTATAGGAGAAAGGGAAGAGTGATGAGGAGGAAGCATAAGTTTGCAGAGAGAAAACTTGAACTAGATGAAAAACAAAAACTAGATCACTTGACGCTAAAAACATTACGCAATGCCAACAAACCTTACATATTGGCTTCTATGTAAAGTCGGTCACATATTAACCTTCGGAGGTTGAGGGGTGTAACCGGCGTGGCCCGGGTCTGTCTCTATGTCTCCCATCTGTCCATCTATCTATCTATCCATGCACCTACTCATCTTTCTGTTATATATCCATTCAAATATCTATCTATTCATTTAGCCATCTATCTACTCATCTATCTATCCATCTATCTACCCTTCTATCCATCTATCTACTGTCTATCTCAGCCGCTCTCCGTATTTGTCTCTGTGTCTCTGTCTTTCGCTGTGTCTATCTGTCTCTCTCTCTCTCTCTCTCTCTCTCTCTCTCTCTCTCTCTCTCTCTCTCTCTCTCTCTCTCTCTCTCTCTCTCTCTCTCTCTCTCTCTCTCTCTCTCTCTCTCTCTCTGTATGTATGTATGGACGTATGGTCTACATCTTTGAACAATATATATTGTTTAAAGATTGATCAAAGAGCGCCCAAGGGTAGGGTGAGGTGATTGTTGTCTGAGTCCGGTTTCCAGCTGTCCGCCAGGTCTTACATCTTACATCTCCTCTGGATCAATGGAGGACCATCAAACAGCTGTATGCTCGATGTCGAATTCATCTGGATGTTGGTAACAACATCCAACGTAATCAACAGCCAGATGAATTCGACTTCGAGCATTTCAGTCAATTATGTCTCACTCAGTAAACCTTGTCTCTGAATTGATACCTGGTTGATACCTGGTTGATGGGGTTCTGGAAGTTCTTCTACTCCGCCAGTCCGGCCCGGGGCCAGACTTGACTTGTTAGAGTTTAGTCCACCAGGCTGTTGCTTGGAGCGGCCCGTAGGCCCACATACCCACCACAGCCCGGTTGGTCCGGCACTCCTTGAAGGAAACAATCTAGTTTCCTCTTGAAGATGTCTTGAATTGTGTCCCTCATTTGTATTTCGGTGAATTGTGTCTCTGTGTACCTGTGTGTGTGTGTCAGGTAATTGTATCTCTGCATGTCGGTGAATGATGTATCTATCAGTTAGTTAATCGTATCTCCGTCTGTTTTTTCTGAATTGTATCTCTATCTTTTTGTTAAAAAATTATTTTCTATATCCACATAACAGTAATCAAAATGTACAGATTTTTCCACACCAGTAGACAGCTTCAGTATCAACATAGCGACTAGACATAAACACCAGTACCATCCGCCCTTTTTCATACGAAGGAGAGGCGGGAGAGACATAGAGAGAGAGAGCGGGGCAGAGCTGGAGAGCTACACATAGACAGTGACACAGTGAAGGGGGTGTTGAGAGCACCATGAACCTGGGTACACTCCTTATCTTAACGTGTTGGTGCTTCACTATACTGCCACACCTAAGGGTCAACTCTTGAATAGAATAAGATAAACAAAGGACTACTCCGTACAGAGTATGGCTTTATAATTTATATTTTATATATGTATCGTTTTACGGTAAACAATAAATTTTGCTCTCAAAGTAACAATAGCCAGTATTGGCAAATAAAACAATAAAATAGGCTAGAATAATCCATTACTCTTGATAAATCTTTTGATCCCTAGTAGACAAATATAATTTAAGAATGAAAAACGTACTTAATATGGTCAATAATAATGACCAGAAAATATGATACCGATAGTATAAATATTAGTAATAGTAGTAATTGTTACTAATACTACTAATCTACTCACACCACGTGGTAACTAGCCGTGAACACTAATTGTAGTGCTAGTACATGCTAGGCACACGTCGTATCTTCCACGTCACTACGGGTAGGGAAGACTTTTTTGACGCGTTTCACAATGCGTCAAAAAAGAGTGTGGGTTAATTGGTCGTGGTCTAGTCGCTAGGGCGTGTGCGTGGGAACACCCAGTGCCTGGGTTCGAACCCTTATCACAGCTTCTATGGACTTTGTCGTTTCTCTTATTATCTAAGAGTCAAAACGTTTACTTTTCTTTGCTGGCAAAGACCAGTTAAGACTTGGTTTGTGCTGATAAACCGGTTGTTACTCAAATTCCTGTGCAACTTCCCCCAGTTTTTTTTATTAGGGCGCAGTAATTAATAGTATTAAAAACCGTAATTTCTTGGGTTGGTGTTGAGCTCAAAGCTTATTAACCATGAAAGGGTTATTAAGGCCACCACAAAGCCTTACCTACCAGCCACCAAGTATACTTTGGTCATAAACATGGTGTAAGCCTCAAATAAATTCTCAGTGTAACTACGCCGAGAAGCGGGACACACCACTCGGTATATATATATATGTATCCTTGTGTTAATTCCCACATCAAAATACTTAATCACTGTAGATTGACCAGACCACACACTAAAAAGTGAAGGGACGACGACGTTTCGGTCCGTCCTAGACCATTCACAATCGACTTGAGAATGGTCCAGGACGGACCTAAACGTCGTCGTCCCTTCACCTTCTAGTGTATGGTCTGGTCAACATATTTCAGCCACGTTATTGTAACTCATCGCCTGCATGATCACTGTATAGAAACTTGTCATCGTCATAAATAATTACTCTATCTTTTCGCATATATATATATATATTATATATATATATATATATATATATATATATATATATATATATATATATATATATATATATATATATATGTATGTATATATATATGTATGTATATATATATGTATGTATATATATATGTATGTATATATATATGTATGTATATATATATGTATGTATATATATATGTATATATATATATATATATATATATATATATATATATATATATATATATATATATATATATATATATATATATATATATATATATATATATATATATATATATATATATACGTTTCTTGCGTTTTATTTAATAGATTTTGGAAAGTGATGATAATTAACAACAACAGAATAAAGGTTAAAAACTGATCTTAGCTCGACATGACCTTAGAGAAGGAAGGTGAGTATATTCTTTTCATTACATTTTGTATCTCGTAACTGGGACATGACGCTGCGGGGACGACATTGATGTATCAATGAATCCACATTGATTCTCTGATGATTAAACGTTACTTTGATTAAAACAACGTCCATAACGTTGATCTTGCGTTGAATCGACGTTATTGATGTTGAGCCTACGTCACCTTGACGTCTTCTACTTGCTTTCAATTTGACTGATTTTTTTTTCCCAAATACATTACGTCTTACCACTACAATAACGCTTTCATTTAAACGTATCTACAACAACTGGCCGAGTGAGCTCTTCCTCGTCGGTAGTTTGACCTCAGGTAAGAACTGGTATCCGGGTTTATAATCAGCCAAGAACACCTGTGGCAGTCTGAGGAAATTTGCCTCTGAGCATGTGTCGACATCTGTTCGCTCCGCCTCCGTCACGTCCAACCACTTAGGCTGGACGGTAGAGCGACGGTCTCGTTTCGTGCAGGTCGGTGTTCAATCCCCGATGGTCCAAGTGGTTAGGCACCATTCCTTTCCCCCGTCCCATCCCAAATCTTTCTTCTGATCCTTTCCAAGTGCTAGATAGTCGTCATGGCTTGGCGCTTTCCTCCTGATAATTCCCTCCCTCCACCACGTGTTCCCCGTATGTTAAACATTTAATTAACAATAACACTTATTCGTTAAATAGAAATTTAGCAAACTTTTCAAAATATCATTAAATAATTAAACGTCGCATTTATTGGCTTTCGATTAAATATAAAACTGACTTTCCTGATCTAAATTTCTTCTTTGCATGCTTTTATTTTTTATTTTTTTTAACAATTAACGTTAATCTAAGTGTTTCACTTGTACACCAAGACTCGCAACACGGATCATTGAGCTTAGTCCTTGAGCAATAGCGTGCGAACACCTCACAGGTACGAGGGTGAAGGATCACCTTACCTTGTCTGGTAACTGCAGGCGAGCCACAGGACAGTCCGTGGCCGGTGAGGTGGTCTATGAGGCTGCGAGGGGAATGCAACAGCTTAAATCAGCCGCGAGGGGGACAGTTTACCAGCACCTCGTCACGCGCTCCGTGTTGCCGGCCGGCGCTACAACTCACGATTTTCCAGATTATTTCTCCTTCTAAATAAACATTCTGTTAGTTGAAAATATTCACCAAATGCTTTAACGCGAAGTTTCTGTGGTTCGGAAGGCCGTGTTGATCTCCACGTTGAATCAGGTAATAAGATAGTAACAATCGTAAATTAGTTGTTGACTGGTGCATTGTTGCAACTGCCTCCCACACGTTTGAGGGGAGGCCCCGCCCACCCTCCAAGTCCCACAGGTAATGTGTACACACCCAAACTTTACTTTATGCCTCAATTCTACTACGGATTAGAGTACAATTGATGATTAGAAACAGGGTGGATCACGGTCTGGATGGCAAACGATGGATCTGAGATTTAAAATACACACCTTCAGCATCACCTGGGCCCCGCCTCCTCCATCCATCCTTAGAGAAAACACATTAAAGTTCTTCCTGGTGTGTCGAGTGTTTATCATAGTGAAGAAATATGAGTTAGAACTTGCCATATTATACCTCGCCACAAGGGTCTTGCCTGTTCTCACGTAGTTCGCCCTGGGTGTTTATCTCAGACCAGTAACCTTCTGACCTCTCATTCGCAGGTGATGCAAACTGACTCGACCTTTTTTCTTCCTTTTTGTCCCCCCTTTTTTTTGCACCAGTCGTCGGTGACCTTTACCTGGGGTCAGCTGTAGCTTGTTAGTCTTTCGCTTGATTTACCGATGGGTATTAGTGTCAGGTGATTGGGGTGGCCCCGCAGCTCATCTCGAGTCATGAATCGCTTAGCAAAGACATTTTGACTAATGACAGCCGTCAATCATTTCCTGATCTGATTGGCATATCAGTCTCGCATTCATCTACCTTGAATATTTGGACTTATTTACTTTGTTGTTAAGTTTTTTATTGACTTGAATCTACTACTGAATTCTAACTTAATTTTTAACTAAGTTAGAATTCAATAATCTTCTCCATTTTGTGCCGTCTATTGACAATTACTTAATTTTGATTAGTCAAATGTAGACTTGAGCAATGAATGAACTTTAATGCCTCGTATATGTGTCTATTAAGACTCTCAGACCTGATAAAAATAATCACTGATTTTATAAGTTTAAACCACTTTTATTTTGTACTTTATAAGTATAAATATAAATTAACTTGACTGTAGTATCAAGCCTACAAATATTCGTCACTTATAAGAAAACCTCCAGATCTTGACCTTAAGTAAATCATCTTCAAATTTCTGAAAAGTAAACCAATAATTTATTTTATTCACATGTACTTACTTCGTATAAACTTAATCCACGAAAATTTACTCGATGTAAACTTACGCCACTTAAACTTCGTCCATTTAAACTCAATCCATTGAAACTTATTCCAAACGAACTTAATCCTTGTAAGCTCAATCTATATTATCTCAATCCTCCTATATCAAATCCATGTAAACTTACTCCAGGTGCACCTACTCCCCTGTAAACTTACTCGACATAAAACTTCCTGTCTATAAACTTACTCGACATCAAACTTCCTTTCTGTAAACTTACTCAACGTAAGACTTGTTCCTTATCTTTAAAATAAGTTCAATATTGACTCCTGACAATATTTCGTCCCCTCACGCTAGTTCTGGCGGGAAGACAACCAAGAGTTAACTTAACATAAGCAATCAATATACATAAAACTTAACAGTACTATCTTAAAGGAAAAGTAATAGTCACAGACACAATCGTTGTTTGTTGTTGACCTTTGGCCTAATGACTGGAGCTGACCTTTGTAAGTATTTATGGGGAATTTTACGTGACCGACCAGTTCCATAGTAATACGGGTCACTTCCTACGTGGTCTTCCTTATTAATTGTTGCCCTTATTTTCATTTTTACTCTTTTTTTTCCTTTATCGTATGATGTGTTGAAGCTTATACCTTATTTAGTATACTAATATATACTACATTGGTATACATTGTATACTACAGTGTATACCTCACCTCTAAGAGAGTGTTAACTCCTATTTTCGTTATTTGATGTTCAATTTACATCTGACTGTTGATTTTGTTTTCTTTCTCAGCTCGTTTATGTGTAATATGGTGTCTCTTTCCTTGTTTGTCCTTCTCCGTTCCTAATGTTCCTTTCCTGTTATTGTTGTGTATAGGAAACTCTTGTTATCATGTATTACGCTATTTTTTCTTCTATAATGCTTCTGTTGGTCTTTTCTCATTCGTTATCGTTAGATATATGTATGTGTACTCACCTAATTGTACTCACCTAATTGTGCTTGCGGGGTTGAGCTCTGCCTCTTTGGTCCCGCCTCTCAATCGTCAATCAACAGGTGTACAGGTTCCTGAGCCTATTGGGCTCTATTATATCTACACTTGAAACTGTGTATGGAGTCAGCCTCCACCACATCACTTCCTAATGCATTACATTTGTCAACCACTCTGACACTAAAAACGTTCTTTCTAATATCTCTGTGGCTCATTTGGGCACTTAGTTTCCACCTGTGTCCCCTTGTGCGTGTGCCCCTTGTGTTAAATAGCCTGTCTTTATCAACCCTGTCGATTCCCTTGAGAATCTTGGATGTGGTGATCATGTTCCCCCCGTAACTCTTCTGTCTTCCAACGAAGTGAGGTTTAATTCCCGTAGTCTCTCCTCGTAGCTCATACCTCTCAGCTCGGGTGGCAAACTTTTGAACCTTTTCCAGTTTAGTCTTATGCTTGGCTCGATATGGACTCTATGCTGGAGCCGCATACTCCAGGATTGGTCTGACATATGTGGTATATAATGTTCTGAAAGATTCCTTACACAAGTTTCTAAATGCCGTTCTTACGTTAGCCAACCTGGCATATGCCACTGATGTTGTCCTCTTGATATGAACTTCAGGGGACAGGTCTGGCGCGATATCAACCCCTAGGTCTTTCTCTCTCTCTGACTCTTGAAGTATTTCATCTCCCAAATGATACCTTGTATCTGGTCTCCTGCTCCCTACACCTATCTTCATTACATTACATTTGCTTGGGTTAAACTCTAACAACCATTTGTTCGACCATTCCTGCAGCTTGTCCAGGTCTTCTTGAAGCCTCAAGCTGTCCTCCGGTCTTAATCCTTCTCATAATTTTGGCGTCGTCAGCAAACATTGAGAGGAATGAGTCTATACCCTCTGGGAGATCATTTACGTATATCAGAAACAGGATAGGTCCGAGTACAGAGCCCTGTGGGACTCCACTGGTGACTTCATGCCAATCTGAGGTCTCACCCCTTACTGTAACTCTCTGCTTCCTATTGCTTAGGTACTCCATTATCCACTGGAGCGCCCTACCAGTTACTCCTGCCTGTTTCTCCAGCTTATGCATCAGCCTTTTATGGGGTACTGTGTCAAAGGCTTTCCGACAGTCCAAAAAAATTCAGTCCGCCCATCCTTCTCTTTCTTGTTTAATCTTTGTCACTTGATCGTAGAATTCTATTAAGCCTGTAAGGCAAGATTTACCCTCCCTGAACCCATGTTGATGGATTGTCACGAAGTCCCTTCTCTCCAGATGTGTTACTAGGTTTTTTCTCACAATCTTCTCCATCACCTTGCATAGTATACAAGTCAAGGACACTGGCCTGTACTTCAGTGCCTCATGTCTGTCACCCTTTTTGTATATTGGTACTACATTAGCAGTCTTCCATATTTCTAGTAGGTCTCCCGTTTCCAGTGACCTACTATACACTATGGAGAGTGGCAAACAAAGTGCTCCTGCACACTCTTTCAATACCCATGGTGAGATTCCGTCCGGCCCAACAGCTTTTCTCACGTCCAGCTCCAATAGGTGCTTCTTGACCTCATCTCTTATAATTTCGAATCTTTCCAAGGTCGCCTGGTTTGCTACTACCTCTCCTAGCGCCGTGACTTCTCCTTGTTCTATTGTAAAGACCTCCTGGAACCTTTTGTTGAGATCCTCACACACCTCTTTGTCATTCTCTGTGTACCTGTCCTCGCCCATCCTAAGTTTCATCACTTGTTCCTTCACAAATGGGCAGAGTTTCCTTCACCCTGATGCCCTTGTTACCTAACAGGAAATTGGTACCTGGGAGTTAGACAGCTGCTACGGGCTGTTTCCTGTGTGTGTGTGTGTGTGTGTGTGTGTGTGTGTGTGTGTGTGTGTGTGTGTGTGTGTGTGTGTGTGTGTGTGTGTGTGTGTGTGTGTGTGTGTGTGTGTGTGTGTGTGTGTGTGTGTGTGTGTGTGTGTGTTTGTATTCACCTATTTGTGCTTGCGGGGGTTGAGCTCTGCTCTTTCGGCCCGCCTCTCAACTGTCAATCAACTGTTACTAAATATTAACTATTTTCACACACACACACACACACACACACACACACACACACACACACACACACACACACAGGAAGAAGCCCGTAGCAGCTGTCTAACTCCCAGGTACCAATTTCCTGTTAGGTAACAAGTGCATCAGGGTGAAGGAAACTCTGCCCATCTGTTTCCGCCGGCTGCGTGGATTGAACCCCGGTCCCTAGGTTCACGAGTCTAGAGCGCTGTCCCCTCAGCTACCAGCCCCCTGTGTGTGTGTACTCACTTAGTTGTACTCACCTAGTTGTGCTTGCGGGGGTTGAGCTCTGGCTCTTTGGTCCCGCCTCTCAACTGTCAATCAACAGTTGTACAGGTTCCTGAGCCTATTGGGCTCCATCATATCTACACTTGAAACTGTGTATGGAGTCAGCCTCCACCACATCACTTCCTAATGCATTCCATTTGTCAACCACTCTGACACTAAAAAAGTTCTTTCTAATATCTCTGTGGCTCATTTGGGCACTCAGTTTCCACCTGTGTCCCCTAGTGCGTGTGCCCCTTGTGTGTGTGTGTGTGTGTGTGTTTTCCAGTTGTAGGTGATGGAGGTTGAGGGTAACGTATACTAAAGCTAATAGAGGTTCAGCTACATAACTACTGACCATCGCCAGAACGCAGTTCACAAAAGCTGTGTAACTCCCGGCAACTGATTTTACTGC